ATGGTTTATCCCCTATTGTCGCTGTATTTGATTTTGGTACCCTGGGTATTGTATATACATTTATCTGAGTAAGGGAAGGAGAACAACAAAATAGTAAGACAAAGGACTAAGGGTGAACCAATGCAACAGCAATACTCACAAGTCAGTATGTTGGAAATGAACTGTACAACTTGGGGGTCACTCTGGGGAGGAAGGGAAAGTGGGAGAAAAATGAAGGAGAGGGTAACCAGTTCAACAAGAAATGTACCCACTACCTTATGTATGTAACCATAACTCCTCTGTATATCACCTTGACAATAAAATTAAAAAATTCTTATGTACTAATAAATACACTACATTAATGTCAATTAGTCTAGCCAATATGGAAGTTCCTCAAAAAAATAAAATTATAACTTCCATACAATCCAGTCACACCAGTTCTGGGTACCTACTCAAAAGAATGTAGTCAGCATTCAGTAGAGATAACTGCATACCCATAATATCACTGAATATTCGCAGTATTCCAGATAAAGGATCATCATAAGGGATTATTAGTGGATAAAGTAAAGATCAGGAAGGTAAAGGGAGGCTACTAGGGAGGTGAAAGGGGAAGGGAAGAGTCAGACTAGAGCAATAGAGGCAGTGAATATGTGTGATCCAAGTACATTAGGTGCATATAGGGAAAGGTTATGATAAAACCCCTTACTATGTATATATATATATATTTTTTTTTTCTATTCATGTATATATATACATGAAAAATAAATATGTGTATATATATACATGAATAGAAAATGCACCTACATGTCAGCTTCTGCTAAACTTAACACAAGAGAGAAGAGACCCAAATAACTGTTTTTCATGGTAGATCCATAGGGAAAGGTACAGAAAGAAATTATTCAGCTTAATTTCTGCTTCCATTTTTTCTTACTTTGGCAATCATGGTCCTGTCTCTGGGAGAGTAGGTGAGAAATATGGTAAAATGGATGTATCTCTACATGGTAAAATAAAAGCAGAGTAGTAAACAGTATCCTCTTGTTACTGATGATTGTATTTTACTTCTGTTGGAGAAACTGAACCTCCAAAGTTGTTTCCCCCATGTTAATTATTTATCACAGATGTTGGGCTGAAGTCCAATTTACCCTCATTGCTATTCAAATTGTACCATAGACATTAATTGGGGTTAAAAACAATAGGGCTTTCTCAAGTTGATTAAAAATGGGAGTGAGAATTTATCAGTATTTTTATTTTTTCTTGCTCCAGTTTGTAATCTTTAAATTCTTCTTCTTGGTGATACTGGGGTTTGAACTCAGGGTCTCACACTTGCTAGATAGGAACTCTACAACTAGAGCCACATCTTCTAGCCCATAATCTTTGAATTCTTTTAACTTTATCAGTCTTCATTTATATGTGAAGTGAAACTTTACTTTTTCTTGTACAGTTGTCTTGTGGCTTTAAAAAGTTCTGTTTATTGAAGAATGTCAGATTTTAAAATAACATACTGAAACCCTAGGAATATATAGCATATATTGCTTGCATTTCTGTTTAAAGTAGTGAAACCACACACACACACACACACACACACACACAGAGCCATACACAATATTCAGGTTCAGAATGTTGTGTACCAAATACAGAAAGAAAACCCATCTTTCTGGTCCAACTGTATAAACTGTGCATAATGTTTGAGAGCCAGGCCCTGTTTCTATTTCTGTTATTGATTTGAATAGAACACTTTGGCAGCAGAAATGTAGACAGCAGGCATTTCCCACATTTAATTTATTCCCTCATAACCAAGAAGAAGCTTGATGTAGACAGTTTCATGTAAATTTGTCACAGATTCTGTGTGCTTTGGAAAGGTCCCACATTTCATTCAGTTTAAATCATTTTTCTGTATTGTAAAATTGGAAAAATAAATATATTCTTCCTAACAGTATTTGGAGACTTTATGCTGTAAGCATTTAATCAGTAAAATTTATTTTGACACCCTTGAAAGGAAGGAATTGCTTGGTAAATATGATGGCTAATTTTATGTGTCAGCTAGTTTGGGTCCCAGGATACTCAGATAGCTGGTTAAACGTTTTGAGGTGTGATGATAAGAGTGTTTCTAGATATGATTAACATTTGAATTGTTATGTTATCCAACATCCAAACATCAATCTACTAAGTGAAAAGAACATAAAAGTTGGAGGAGGGTTGAACTAACTTTAAGTATTAATAGCACCAAAAAGACTATATGTCTATATCTATAGATAGATAGATAGAAGATAGAAGATTTGCAAGCTTAAAATGCTATGTACTCTCACGGCTTTATGTATCATTTCACATATATGTATAAATATGTGTATACATGCGATTATTACAAGGCATTGCAATAAGGAGATTAAAATAAATTTAATATATTAATAAGTGAATTAATTGAGCTCTGAAACAGTTAATATCACAGAGTATATGAAGAACACTTATGGGCAAAAATTAAATACAAGAAAATAATTAGTTGTTTTCTAATTCTTCTGAGTATCCTTGGCTATTGGTGAGAATCATACACAGAGTTTGTAGATTTTCTTGTTGATGGACTCTATGCCACGCTGCATGTATTGATCAGGCTCCTCCAGAGAAAAGGAGAACACACACACACTCCCATACTCACAAGCTATTCAATACTTAAAATCACCAAATCCAAAATCTTCATTTTCTTATCAGAGTTTATTGTTATACATATGAGGTACCATGCTATTATCAGAATTGTATCCAGATTTTTTTCTTTTAAAAAACTCAGAGAAAAAAAATGTTTCCAATAATTTTCATTCAATGTGAATGACAAGAGTATTATCACTATAAACACCATTTCATTTCTTCCTGAGGAAGTTCTATATTTTAAGCAATGAAAAGGGAATTTTATACAGAGCTAATTTTAAATGACATTACATCTCATTCTTTTCTCACCTATTCATGTTACTTTCTGATTAACATATAATCTGCTTGGGTATATGGTATAGAAATCATCATGACTTCTAGAATGTGAAGCTGTCTCCCAAATTATTGAGTATAGTACCATCTCTTCTTTTTTCTCCTTTGCTTAAACAGAATTGAACATGTTTATAACATTTATATTAAAGGATGAGTTCTTGGTTGTTGAGTAGATTTATTTACCAAGCTATAGGATGCCATTAGTAACTTTATTTAGAAGTTTGGTTGTACAGTCTCATTTAAAGTTATAGATGGATCAGTTTTCCTTTTTTTATCAATAGAAACATTGTTGCCAAAGGAAAATATGACCTTAGATATAACTGCTAGGCTCTTCTATATTTGAGCCTCCTAGTGAAAAATGATGACAGTTTTCTTAGTACATTTGCCACAGGCTGCTTCAAAAGAGACAGCAGTAAGCATAAAGATTCACTTTTTATCCAAACGCTTTTGCTTTAAGACATTTTTTTTCTTTTGTGCCAGTCCTGAGGCTTGAACTCAGGCCTGGGTGCAGTCCCTGAGCTTTTATGCTTCAGGCTAGTGCTCTACCATTTTAGCCACAGCGCCACTTTCTAGCTTTTTGCTGGTTAGTTGGAGATAAGAGTCTCACTGACTACCCAGGCTGGCTTCAAACCACAATCCTTAGATCTCAGTCTGCTGAGTAGCTAAGATTATAGGTGTTTTTTTCTTTCATGCAATTGTTTCTAACATATTTATAAGATAATTTCTATGTTGCTTTGTATGTCCCTCCCTCACAGTATAATCCCTGCTTTCACTGTATTTGATGTTGGTATAATTTGTGGAGGGGAAGGGCAAAAACAACTCATTTAAATAGGGATACAGGTGGACCCATTGCAACAATGAGATGTACAAGTTGTTATGTTGAAAAACGAACTTTACAACTTTGGGGGGGTAGGATCAGATGGGGAGATGTGGGGGGAGTATGGGAAGGGGAAACAAAGAGGAAGCAACAATGCTTGATAAGAAATGTACTCATCTTGCCCATGTAATTTTAACTCCTCTGTACGGTATTCTCACAATAAAAAAAAAAGATTATAGGTGTGAGCCACCAGTGCTGACATTAATTTTAAATTAAAAATTGTACATTGTACAATTTTATTTTGAACTACCTGGCAACATGTCATTTTATCAAAATTTTAGATGTAAATACTAAACATAGCATCTAGGGAAATTCCCTGGTTTGCATTAAGTGGGTTGTGTTTTGGGGAACAGCAAAAGCAAGCTATTCACATTTAAGAGTCAGCTTGCTTCTGGTGATGACACATACCTCAGACTGTATGCATGCCTTTCTATAGAACTAGAGGACTGGAATAGATTTTCAGCTTACAGGCCTAGACTTTTCAATCATGTTTCCCCCTTAGGGGGAGCAAAAATGCATTATTGCTTACTGATGTCATTTACACTATGTTTCTAGTCACCATCCAACAGGTTTGCAATACTATATATTTTATTATGATAGTAACATTATGGTGGAATAATAAGTAATTTTTGTATAAATGCCCTAGATTATATATGTAAGCCATTACCTCATCTTTGCAATAGCACATCTCTCTTTTTGATTTTTGATGCAAATAAAGTCCACAGATGACTTTTCCACCTGCTGATGTAGTATAAATTATGATACACAATTCTTTTTTCTAAATACTTCGGTGAATTTGATTTTTGGGAGACATTTTTTTGCTAGCATTGTTTTGGAATTTTATGTTACATTGTGATTTATTTATTTATTTGGTTCTTGTTTTTGCAGGATACTTTATAGAATCCATGAATAAGAAAACATTGTACAGGCAAACAGTGATCTAAAAATCTACAGAGACACAATCTTCTTTGCTATACAAAAGTGTAACTATTACTGTGAAATGCAGCAGTCCTGCATTTGTGTTTGTTATTTATGTTGGTTGCTATTGACTTCCACAAGAGTGCACAGTAGTCTACAATAATCCCACAGGCTCAGATATGGGTTAAGAGGAAGGCCATAGGCTTCAAGGCTTATAATAAAGTTTTGTTTCTCCTTTTTTTCCTCCCTTTTATTCCTAATTATCCACATGCCAGCACATGGAAGGAACTCTTATTTTTCTTATTTGAAGAGGTATATATTATATTTTGACAGCCTTTTGATAGCTTCTGGAAGCTTTGGAAAAGGTATCTGTTCTATCATGGAGGGTGGTTTCTCCGGAAGTTTTTTTTCTTTTGCTCAGTGCTATCTCACTTTCTGCAGCTCCTGTCTCAGCCAGGATGGTAGAGGCTGGCCCAGTTTGTGCAGCAGCTTTGAGAGCTCTATGTTGTGGTCGCGGTAGTAGCTTGATAGAAATGCTCTGCTCTGAGAGGGCCGGAAGGAAGAAAAATACATGTTATTTTGTTTATTAAAGCATATTTTACACGCTTTGAGTATGCTTAAGGATCAAAACCCAGACCTGGATTAAAATTTCTATAAGGAGGTAGACTATTTAGTTAGCATATCTTGCAATGTGTTGTTGACAGTCTTGGGGTGAGGGATTCTGGCATTTCTCTGCACACTAGGAGAGGCAAACAGCGAGGTGAGCACTTGCCTTTCCTAGTCCATCTACATGTTTCTATTTCCATTACTTCTTTGGAGGCTTCTTTGTTTTTGCCTCCTCTCTGGAAACTGTTTTCACAAAATCAGCTGCTATACTCCATTACATAAGCCTAATCTGTATTATATGGAGATCTAGCATTATTTTTCCTATCTGTCCCTACCACCCATTTTTTTGTGTGTAATATATCAGTATGTTTACATTAATCAAAGTGAAATTCAGTGCCAAGGAAGACATTCTGTACTGTTTTAGAAATGTTTTAGCTTTTACCTAAAAATAATATATTTTAGCCAGGTGCTGAGATCTCATGCCTATTGTTCTAATTTCTTGGGAGGCTAAGATTGGCAGGGTCCCCGTATGAAGCCAGCTAGGGCAGATATGTGAGATCCCTCAACCACATAGCTGGGTATTGTGTGGTGGTATACTTCTGTCATTCCACTATATGGGAGGGTGAGTTGAAGTAGATTGTGGATCCAGGCCTGCCTGGAAGAGAAGTTCAACAGACTTCGTCCAAATGGAATAAGATGTGTCTAGAGACAGATGTCTGTCATCCCAGTTCTAGACTGAAGCTTAAGATGGGCAGATTTTGGGTTCAGTACAAAAATACAGCTAGAGGTGTGGCTTAATGCAGAGTGGCTGCCTGGCAAGCAAGGGACCCTGAGTCCAAATCCTACTACTTTCAATATCTCTACCACCTATATCTGTATCTACTTTTCCAATAGTGCCTTCATAAAAATCACCCTTCTGTTTCTTTTAATGTCTAAGGATTGTTTTCATAGCTACAAGGGTGAATTTTGGTACTAGAGTCCTGAGAATATAATTTCTTTATCAAAGCAAGAGAACTTCCCTCTTCCATGCTTTCTGTTCAGAATTTTATTGAGCAGAAACAGGCCTGACATAACAAATGGTCCACAATTTCTCCAGATTTATTATTAACTCTTACTTAAATTTCTGAGTTTATAATCCACTTGCATTCTTATATTCCCAGTGTATAAGATATCTAGGTTGACTATGAAATAAAAAGATGAATATATTTTCCTATATGTGAACTAAGCATTAATGTAAAAATACAGAGCATACAAACTAAGAAAGAGCTACAGCATTGTGCTCTCCATGCTATGATTCTGAACAGAATAAACAGAATGCCACAGGTGCCACAGTGGGTATGTCTCCTCCCTTCTTTAAGACATAAATTGTCTGCTGGAATGTTTGATAGCTGAAAAATGTATTAATTTCTTATTTTACTAGCATTTGACAGTTCAAAGCTTAATATATTAAATAAATAATTAATATTATTCTAGTAACTTACTATTACAGAGTGATTAAGCAGTAAAATTTAATTTTAATCTTTTTTTTCAATTTCAAGTTAGTATATTTCCTGTCATGGTTTTAGTTAACAATTTTTGTGCTGAAATTTCTGTGCAGGTGCCAGTATTTTTGCAGGGAGATGGTTATCTTTTTGTTTAATTCACCATTGCAAATTTTATTATTATTTTTCTTTATTCTTACATGGCAGGTAATAAAATGTAACTGGAAAAATCAAAGCAATCCAACTTAGATATATTAAAACCCAAAAGTCATTTTTACTTTTTAGGAAGACTGAATTTTGATTTTGATCATTTTTCTAGAGAATCTACATGGTATTATTATTCATCATCCAGTACATTTGGTTTGTGAGCTCCATACTCACATCAGAATCCATTGGAGGGTATTTTCTTCCTTTACTCTTTCCAAGACATTTTGTTTTACCTTCTTCCAGTAGCTGACACCAGAAACCTTTGTGAGAATCAAATCTAGAAAAATAAAAAAAGCAAGCAAGCAAACAAACATAAAAACAATTTGAGAAGTACTTTAAGCAGTTTACACAATATATTGGCTAATAATACAAATACTTAAATTTGGATGTCAGTCTATAATGAAACTAGAATATTTTCTGCTCAGCCCTTTCCATAAAATATTTTGGCACCTTTCTGAATTCTCAGTCCATCTGTCATATTTGTAACTTTGCCAGATTCTTAATAGAAAAATTTCAGCACAAGATCTCCTATTAATAGAAATTAATAAAGCTGTCTCCTTTATCTGGAAGGAAAAAATAATGAAATTTCAGCCTTTTTTTAAATACTCTTTAAAAATGACAAATCAGTCTTCATCAGTGTCAGTGGACTTAGATAGTACTTATATCACTCAACTACAGAGTCAAGTAAGAGAGAAAGTTTTCATTTAACATTTTTTTTTCTTTTTGAATAATCATGGGGCTTGAACTTAGGGCCTAGGCACTGTCCCTGAGCTTTTGTGCTCTAGTGCTTTCTTCCACTGAGCCATGCTCCACTTCTGGTTTTGGGTGGTTAACTGGAAATAAATCTCACAGACTTTCCTCCTTGGCTGGCTTTGAACAAAATCTCAGATCTCAGTTTCCTGAGTAGCTAGGATTACAGGCTTGAATCACTAGTATCTGGCTCTTTTAACTTTTTTTCCCCCCCAAAGCTATAATCTTTTGGTATGAACTTTATATGAAAGGAACAGGGCTTGTGAGATTTTTATGCCATAATGATAACAGTAATAGTAGCATGTTAAATTTGCATTTCAGTTTACCAACATATTTTGTTACTCTCATTTGTGTCTTTATTATAACCTCTTAAGGAATAGTTCCTTCCATTCTATAGAACTCAGCGTAGCTTGTCACTCACTAAATATAAATTTAATCAAAAGTAAAAAGGAAGAAAATATTTGTTGTGTTTTTCTAGGACTATATACTTTTTCACTACTCTGGTCATGACAAGTTTGGCTTCCAGACTCTAGGTTCAGGGCCTTTTCTTTTCATTGGTCTCTGAGTAAGTTTTAAACTTTGAATAATAAACATGATTGGATATAAAAGTAAAAATAATAGCAATGATAATTCTTTCACATTGTCTTTGTTTGATAGTTCTATGATCATACTTACTTCTCCATTAGAATTACCATTTATAATTCCTTTTACTTTGCTCTTCAATTTATATTACTCTGAATGGCACTTCCAACATTTTTCAAAAATTTCATGAACAATTTTGGAAATTTAAATAAAAACATTTAAGTTAGCATAAAACACTAAAATACCTGAGGATAAGGTTAACAACAAAAAATAGCCATACTGAAAACTGCAAAGCATTATTAAAAGAAACAAAGGACCTATACCGTGCTCATAGATCAGTATACTAAATACTTAAAAAAATGTCAACTCTCCAAATTTATCTAAAATGTAAACTCTATCCAAATTCATCTACAGATTCAGAGTGATTTCATCTAAAATATAATTGGCCTCTTTGTTTGGTAGAAACTGAGAATTATTTTAAAATGTATATGATAATATGAAGGACCTAGACAAGCTAAAACAACTTAAAACAATTTGAAAACAAAAGCTGGAGGTCTTACACTACATGAGTTCAAGATTTGCTGTAATGCTACAATCATCAAATCTATGTTATATTTGTATCAACAGATCAAATGATCAATGGATCAAAATAGATCAATGGATCAAAATAGATGCTCCAGAATTAGATCGACACATCTATTAGCCAACTAATTAAAAGATAGGTTCCAAGCTAATTCAATGGGAAGGAATTCATCTTTTGGACAAATTAGAAACAAAACACAGGACATTACATAGAAATAAAGAGCTTTAATTGTTATGCTCTATAAAAATTAACATGAAATGGATCATTGATCTTAACCTAGGAGATAAAACTATAATAAAATTCTAAAAACACAAAAGGAAAAGATTTCCAACCCTTTGATTAGGGAAAAAGTTTTGGATGAATTTAAAATGTTTATAATTTTGAACTCAATAAAATTCTTAGCTTTGCTTTTCTAAGACACTTTTAAAAAGGCAAAACTAGAGAAAAACTCTGTAAACCACAGACTGTGAGGATAATATTTGTAAAACAATACCCAATAAGGGACTTGTAGTTGGCATATACAATTCAACCTAAAGGTAACAATGCCAATAAAAGGGAGCAAAACTTGAAAGAGACTTAATTTTTTTTTTCTTGATGGTCCTGGAGCTTGAACTCAGGGCCTGGGTGCTGTCCCTGAGCCTCTTTGTGCTCAAGGTAATTGCACTACCACTTGAGCCACAGCTCCACTTCTGGGTCTTTCTGCATAGTTTATTGGAGATAAGAGTCTCATGGACTTTCCTGCTCAGGCTGGCTTAAAGCTGTGGTCCTCAGATCTAAGTCTCCCTAGTAGCTAGGAGTACAGGTGAGCCAACAATACCTGTCAGAAAGAGACATTTAACCAAAAAATGAATGTGAATGATGAATAACGAAATGAAAATTTACTCAACATCATCAGTCATCAGGGAAATAAAAATTAAAACTAAAAATTCATGGGCATGTCTAAATTTAAAGAGTGATATGTGAAACACGTAGAAATATCAAATGCTGCTGGTAGAAATTGTCTATAATAAATGTGATACACACACACACACACAAATTGTCTATAATAAATGTGATACACACACACACACACACACACACACACTGGAATTCTGTTCCTCCATCAGAAAGAAGGACACTGCCCCATTTGTTAGGAAATGGAACTTGGAAAAAAATAAATTAAATGAAGTAAGCCAGGCCCAAAGAAACATAGGTTCCCATGGTTTCCCTTATTTGTAATAACTAATATATATATATATCTAGGACAAGCAGAAAAGGTCAAAAGCTGTGTACATATGACCATATAAGATGATGTTAAGCGAAATGAACCCCAAGATAGAGACACAAGTGTTTTTTAAAATCTTTCTTGCTATTGTTTTTAATGTATTTATAATGTACCATGTGATTTTTTTTTGTTTCTTTTGTATGTTCTTCCCCCCTGGTATAACTCCTGTTATCACTGAATTTGATTCTGGTGCCCTGCATCTTGTATATACATTTTTTTCTAATTTGGGGAGGGGAAGGGAAATAACAAAATGCTGAAATAAGGATACAGGTTGACCCATTGTAACAATGAGCTGTACAAGACACTATGTTGAGAACGAGCTTTACAACTTTGGGATGGGAGGAGGGAGGAGCTGGGGAGGTGTGGAGAGAAGGGATGGTAGGGGAAAAACAAAGGAGGTAACAATGCTCAATAGGAAATGTACTCATTACCTTACTCATGTAACTGTAACCCCTCTGTACAGTATTTTTGCAATAAAAATATACAAAAAAGAGAAATTGTCTATAATAGTCAAAAGTGGATACAGCATTTCTGTCCATCAGTTAGTGAAAGGAATATTACTTAGAGATGAAACAGAAAAATGTCAAAAATATGCTAAATGGTGGAAAGTACATGGACTGTTTACTAGAGTCAGGAGTAAGGGAGAAGTTTTGAATGCACAAGAACATGACAAAACTCTAGATGAACTGAAATGTTCTGTGACTTCATTGTGGTGGATTCAACTATGTATGTTTGATCAAATTAATTGAATTTTCTAATCATGATTGGAAAATTTTGTTGTACATAAAACTATGTCTTAATAAAACATTTCAACTCCTGTCTGATTTAATGTGTGTTTGTGTGTGTCTAAATGTAGCTAATCTTGTGTAATTTATAATGAGAGCCTAAATTCAGGTTGCTGCCTGTCTTGCTTTGGCTATTAGACACAGTAAGTGAGTCACATCCTACTTATTCCTTGTTATCATGAAAGAAACAGTATAAAATCATGACATAACATATCTTCATGCAGTGTATGTACTTGTTTCAATAGATAAAACTACTGAATTAATTAATTTTATGTTCAGCTGAATGGAGTGGGCATTAATAAACACTATTATTTAAATCTATGCAGAAAAGACTTTGGAAAACTCTAATAAGCATGGTTTCTTGGATGTAGTATTTTTCATTAATAGTTTGCTATCATCAATTTCTGAATTTAAATTCTGACATGTTTTAAGTATTCATGATCAAAACTCAGAATCCAGAACAGCTGCTATTGTTTTGCTACTACATTTGGCTGTAGGTACATGGTTGGATATATATGTCCTGTGTGTAGACTAAGCAGCCTTATGGCAGGCTTTTCTAAGAAATGTTGAATTTCACATGTATCAAAATTAAGGATAAAAGAAAAATTGACTTTTCTTTTCTTTCTTTTTTTTTTTTTTGGGTCCGGTTGTGGGACCTGAACTCTGGGCCTGGATGCTGTCAGCTCTTCAGCTCAAGGCTAGGGCTCTACCATTTGAGCCACAGCGCCACTTCTGGCTTTTTTCTTTTTGCTTATGGTGCTGAGGAATCGAACCCAAGGCCTCATGCATGCAAGGCAAGCACTCTACCACTGAGCCACCTTCCCAGCCCCTGGCTTTTCTTTTATCTCTGCTAATTGATTAGATACCATGCAACAGGATATCCCTCAGGATTTTTTGAAGTAAATGTGTGTGTGTGTGTGTGTGTGTGTGTCTGAGACCAAGAGCAAATGTCTCTGCATAAGATCACAGGTGGTGGTATAGATGTATCAGCATGGAAAAGCAGAGGGAAAGGAGGTCATCATTTTCTAGGTGGCCTGAGGGAAAGTCTGGTTCCTCCCAGAGCATGGTCAGAAGATGAGGGCCTGTTGTTGATGAGGGGCCTTGTGATTTTGAATCCACAAACCATACTGTGTCAGAGCCCATCTGAGAAAGTCTAGCAGAGGTAAAGATCTCCCCACATCTATTCATAAGAACAGCATTGTGCCTTTGGAGAATAGCTTTTGGACCACTAACAATGGCCTCAGAACTGCTGGTCTGAGGAATAGGAAGGAAACAAGCTTTCTACGTAAGCATTGGCTGCTGTAGCCATAGCT